GCTCCGCTTCCCATCCAGCTCCCTGCTTGTGGCTTGGGAAAGCAGTTGAGGATGGTCCAAAGCCTTGGGACCCTGCACCCGTGTGGGAGACCTGGAGGAGGTTCCTGTTTCCTGGCTTCGGACTGGCGCAGTACCCGCCATTGCAGTCACCTGGGGAGTGAATCATCGGACAGAAGATCTCCCTCTCTGTCTCTCCTCCTCTCTGTATATCTGACTTTGTAATAAAAATAAATAAATCTTAAAAAAATAAAATTTATGTATTTTTATTGGAATGTCAGATATACAGAGAGGAGGAGAGACAGAGGAAGATATTCTTCTGATGATTCACTCCCCAAGTGACTGAGAAGGTCAGAGCTGAGCCAGTCCGAAGCCAGGAGCCAGGAACCTCCTCCAGGTCTCCCAAGTGAGTGTAGGTCCCAAGGCTTTGGACCATCCTCAACTACTTTCCCAGGCCACAAGCAGGGAGCTGGCTGGGAAGTGGAGCTGCCGGGATTAGAACTGGCGCCCATATGGGATCCCGGCATGTTCAAGGCGAGGACTTTAGCCTCTAGGCCACAACATCAGGCCCAAATTTTCTTTTCTCTTACAGAGCTATGACTACTTGCAGAGCTACTGTCCTCTTTAATGTACAGGTCGATTTATGGGGAGTCTGAATTACAGCATAGTTGTAACAAGAGTGCTGGAATACTTGAAAGGTTTTTACAAAAGCCATGTGGTTAAAGAGAGTAATTCAACGGTACACAATTATTTTCACCAAATGTTTTAACTTTCTATTGATAAATAAGAAATTCAAAGCTCAGTGGCTTAAATCAGGTATTTATTATGTCTTGTAATTTATGTGGGCTAACTGGACTTCCAAGCATCTCTGTATCGTGATTTGGTGGCTAGGGCTGTGGGCATGTGGAGGCTCTAACGATGCTGGAGTATTCAAGATTGTTCACTCATATGGCAGGCAGTTGATAGCTTCAGCTGAGAATTTCCACCGAAGAGCCTCAATTATTCTCCATGTGGCTTTTTGTGGCTCCTGCAAGCAACGGCAATTTCAAGAGGGAATGTTTTAGCATGCTATCACGGGAGAGAAATCATCTTCCTCTTTCTCTACTTGGGAGTATTAGCAAGTGACTCAAAGCTCAACTTTAAAAATCTGCTTGATGTCAGCTTTCTGGTGTCTCATTTCCTGTGTGAACCCCGCCTCTATCCTGCTGATGCAAGTGATACCCTCCCATTAATGTTCGGGGGGATGCATTGAGTTCAAGGAAGCTCAGCTGCACCAGCATTCACATCAACACCAACAGTCACACTAGGATATTGGACTAGTAGCGTGGTAGTACACTTCATCGCAGTCTAATGGTACAATCATACTATGGCGAGAACATTACAAATGGGTTACCTACTTATAGTCTACTTATGACAGATGTAACAAAAAGAAAACACAAACCAACCAACCAATTCTATTTTGTATCAAAAACACTAAATATTGCATTAATATTTTATGTCTTAAAAGTTACGCTTTGCGGCCTGGCGCGGTAGCCTAGTGGCTAAAGTCCTTGCCTTACACATGGCCAGGATCCCATATGGGTGCCGGTTCATATACTGGCAGCCTAGCTTCCCATCCAGCTCCCTGCTTGTGTCCTGGGAAAGCAGTCAAGTACAGCCCAAATCCTTGGGACTCTACACCCTTGTGGGAGACTTGGAAGAAGTTCCTGGCTCCTGGCTTCAGATTGGCGCAGCACCAGCTGTTGCGGCCACTTGGGGAGTGAATCAGTGGAGTGAAGATCTTCCCTGTCTCTCCTTCATTCTGTATATCTGACTTTCTGATTTAAAAAAAATATATGTTTTGGCTACTACACTGGCTGCAACTAGTTTCTTTTTTCAAAGCCTATACCAACTTAAAAATATTGGAAATGTAGTAAGTTGATGTGAAGCATTTTAAACTTACAAATCACATAAGATTTTGATCTTAAGCATTTGAATTTTCCACCATGAATGGATGTCTTTTCCTTTTATATGATAATTGATCTCAGAGACAAAAGACCAATAAAAATGTCACTTCTAAGGGCTAGGCACATTTGAGATTTTCTTTACTGTTAGTTTGAGGTAATGAGCTCTTATCTTAGTATTTGACTTTTTCACAAGGAAGAAACAAGCTGGGAGCCTGAATTTTCAGTCTAAGGTATCACAAGCTGTTCTGAACAACTGAAAATTAAAGCCAAGGCCATCTATCCAGGTACACAGCCAACACATAGGCATGCTGCCCGAGTTATTGGTTTCTAGACTCTAGCAAAATGCTAAGAAGTTACAATTGAGTGAATTTGGCGTTTTCTGGTATGGAATAGAAAGAAAATTCCATTCCATCTTTGTACTCAAAAATGTCTTTTTCTTTGTATATAGGTAAGGGTTTATAGATCAATAATCTTGATTTCAGCATGAAATTACATTTTTTTTTGCTTGAGTTCTTCCAAGTTATTCAGGCTTCCTTGTTCTTAATACACTATTTTTTTTCTTTTGCTGTGGTTTCAGTGAATTTTCGGGTAGGTATTTGGTGCAGCAGGTATACCAAATATCAGAGTGTCCAGGTTCACGTCTGGGTTCTGCTTCCAATTCTGTCTTCCTGCTGATCTGCCTTTCCAATAAAGATAAACAAATCTTAAACAAGATGTTTTATTTATTTTTATCTGGTAGGTATTGATTTTATTGGGTAGGTATTGATTTACAGAGAAAAGGAGACACACAAAAATGAAGTCTTCCATCTGTTGGTTCAATCCCCAAATGGCCACAGCAGGTGGAGCTGATCTGATTTGAAGCCAGGAGCCTCTTCCATGTCTCTCACGTTAGTGCAGTGGTCAAAGGATTTGGGATTTCCTCTGCTGCTTTCTCAGGCCATAAGCAGTGAGCTGGATCAGAAGTGGAGTAGCCAGGACACATACTTGTGCCCACACAGATCTGGCACTTGCACGTGCAGGCCCCTTTCCTGTGTGTGTATGTGAGAGAGACACAGGTAAGGAAGTCCTATAAACTCAGTTGTTGATAGTTTATGTAAGGGTTTTGATGAGAAAACTCCCGTTAGTATTACTGAAGATGGTTAGCCAATAGGACTGCTTTCCATAGTAAGCTACCCATTAATACGGAGACCTCTGTACCTTTAATTAGTAGTAGCCGTGTAGACTCAGACCAGGGTTTTCAGGCCAGAGAAAGTAAAGCAAATGGAGTTTTAAATCAATATAAATAATGTAGTTCAATGCATAGATTGTGCCCTGAAGGAGCTCATGGTTTGACAGATATTTGACTCTGAAGTACTTCATGATTCTTTTTTCCAATTAAAATAAACCAAAACCATTTAAACTTTAAAAATTTGTTTTAATTTGAAAGACAACGATGGTGCATCCATCTGTTGGTTCACTCTCCAAATGTCCTACCACATTCAGGAACCCAGAATTTAACCCAGGGCACCCAGGTGGATGACAGGATGCACATCAGCCGGAAGCTGGGATGGAGGGTGGCACCAGGACTGGCACCCGCACACTCTGCTATGGATCCGGTGTCCCAATCTGCTGAGTCACAAGCCTGCCCTTTGATGTTGCCTTTCACCCTGGGACATGCCACTCAGACCCTAAGAAAATGCCTGCCTTACTTGAGAATATCCAAATTCACTCTCGGGGAGCAAATCTTTAACAAACATTTGTAACTACCTGAGATGTGGTGCAAGTCCTTTTGGTATTTTTAAAACCACTTTTCTAAAGACAGTCCTTGCTTTCTTGAGTCTGAGTTTGCTTCTCTTCTCACTAATTTCCATGCGATGGTGCAAAGTCTACTTTTCAAGGCCATCTTTAACAACCCTTTCTCCAGGACACGACTTGACCTTCTATTCAATAAATGCAAATACATATATATATATTCCAAATCCTGCAGCACAATTCCTTTTGCTAGACCCAGCTTTTGGCTTCACTTTCACTTTAGGGAGTCATGAGAGTAATTTAAAAATTATGACCCACTGACCTCTAAGCAAGGTGAAGAAACACCTTTCTCTGTATTTTTCACTACTGCACTAGGCCAAATTCTGCGCCGTTAAGAGCGGAGTGGTGCTGGGAGGAAAAAGACTGTCTTAAGAACGTGATGATTTTTGCCCTAATATAATTTATCTCCGAGACTGATCTTTCACATTGGAAAATCACAGGAGGGGAAAAACAAAGTGCCTCAGAGATCGACAGCGCCATCCACCCCGCCTCCACGCGGTTGGGAGCAGCTGTCTCCGGAATCTTCCCTTCTCAGAATGTGGGAGAGAGGCTGAGGCGGCAGCTGCAGAGCCCGGCGTCTTTTCCTATCCCTCGCTTCCCTAATGGCAGTAGCCGCAGCAGCTGCCCGGGGATCCCGCAGAAATCTCCTTGCAATTCTTGGCCGGAGCGCGGCGGGCGGCGGCCGCGGCAGCAGCTGAAAGCCGTCAGGGGCTGGGGTGGGGGGACTCTGCGCTCCCCCGGGGAACAGCAGCCTGGCTGCCTCTCGGTACGAGGTCCCTCAGGTGTTCCTCTCCAAGGCCAACCGGGCACCTTGGCAACGTGAGGGCGGGCTCCCTCCGCGCCCAGAGTCCCTACGGTCACCTCTCGACGTAGGCGCCTCAGCCCTGGCCGGAGCACCCATCCCCCGGTGACTCGGGCTCCCTCCGAAGGAAGGACAGGTCTCCCCCCTCTTGCCATTTTTTTTTTTCTTTTTCGTGAGGGCGGGCCTGGGCGCTCCCCGAGCCGCGCGCCCGTGCGCCCCTCTGCCCCGCGGGTTTCCTCAGGCAGCACGCCCAGCGCCCCCGCCCTCGGCGGCCGCCCCGTGCGCGCGCGCGCCCCCAAGCCGGCCGCGGCCTCCGCCTCGGCGCGCGCCCGCCCGCCCGCTCGCGCACGCGCACGCCGCGCCCGGCAGCCCTCGGCGCTGTCATGGCGGCCGGGGGCAGCACCGGCGGGCACCGTGGGGCGGCCGCACGAGCCTTGGCGAGGCCGGCTGCGGCAGTAGCATCCTCACCGCCCGCAGCAGCCACCGTGGCAGCGTCCGTGGCGCCCGCAGCGGCTGCTTCTTGCACTGGCTGAGCGCAGGGGGCGGGGGCTGGGGCGGGCAGGAAGCCATGGAGTTCTGTGCAGCCGCGGACTCCCGGGGAGCCGACTAAGGGGGGAAAACTTGGAGGCTGCGACCAGGTGCACTGACCTCTGTCCCCCCCACCCTCCTCTCCCTCCCTGCCGCCACACACAGCTGCCCAGCCGGCCCCGGGCAGCCTCAGGTGCCTCCGAGAGGTGCTCCACTCCTCCCCCTTGGGCCGAGCCTTGAGCAGAATCACCGCCCCTTCCCCCCGCCTTTTCCTGCCCTGGATCTCCGCCGCCACCTCGGTCTCGCTGCTCCCCGGCCGGGGCGGGAGGGGGGCGGTGAGCACCGGGTGCCGAGTTATCAGGGTGAGGAGGAACTTGTGTGCCCGGGTGGTAGCTCGGCGCGGGGAGGGGGGTCCCCTCTGCTTCCTAGTCCCCGTCTGCCTTTCCCGCCACACTTTCTCTTCGGCGTGCACCTGTGAGCAGAGGTTGCCCTGCTCCTGGAACCTGCGAGAGTGTGGGGGAGGAGTGAACCTGTTCCAGGGCCTCTTGGACCCGCCTTGGGCCAGAACCCAGCTCTGCGAGCCCGGGGAGCAGCGGGGTGGGGTGGGGGCTGCCCCGTGGGGGACACCTGCCCTAACTTCAACTTGACGGGCAGTTAAGTATTTCTCCCCTCTCTCTTTCCTCCCCACCCCCAAATCCAAACCTAGCCTAGTTAACATACATTTAATCTTCCAATAGGGTTTGGCGTTGTTGTCAGCCTCGGGGAGAGAGATTGGACAAGTGTTCTCCCAAGAACAGCGCTTCGCCGAGGAGGACTTTCTTCACATCCCCCTCCCCGTTTCTTGGCGGGGGGCGTGTTTCCCCACGCGTTGGAAGAGAGACCCTTTGCATCCGGCGTTGGGTGTGCGGCACAGCCGGCCGCTCTCCCGCGGGGACTGCCACTCATCTTTCCGCGTTGAGCCAGCCATGGCTAGTGAAGACCTTCGTGTCCCCTCCCCGCCACCAACAGGTGACGACGGGGGAGGGGGCGGGAGAGGTGAAGAGACCCTTGCCGGAGGGGGCTCCTTGTCCCTGAACCCCGGGCTGCCCATCAGGGGCACCCGCATGAAATTTGCCGTGCTGACGGGACTGGTGGAAGTTGGCGAAGTGTCCCACAGGGATCTTGTAGAAACTGTCTTTAACCTGGTAAGTTAGGTAAATATTTTATAAGCCTATATACTTTCCCCTCTGGGTGAGAGAACAGGACGTTTGAACGTTTAAGCCATGTGCTGGCTTTTCTCGATGATGGCTTTTTCCATGGCTTAGAAGTACAAACATTCTACTGACCTAAAATGAAGCCGTTTTTTTGTACCACTTTTTTTTTTTTTCCAGTTTAAAGGGAATCATGCTCCAGGTTTTGTGAAAGTGAACAGAACCCCTTTTGTGCTGAAGAAAGTAAATTGTTGCTGTAGGAGTCTGGGGGGCCAGGGGAGGGGCGCCCCTGGAGTTGTCTGTACTTGGGAGGCTCCAGCCTCTTGCACATCAAAGTCACATTGTGACTTTGGACTTGAAAGACCCTCTGACGGTTTGTGTCTGTCCAAGTTATGACTTGCTACCAGGAATTGTATGTGTAAAATTTCTCCTTCCTGGTGCTGATGAAGTATTAATTTGCTGCCAAGTTAGCATTTAATTTTTCTGTTTTTAATCAGGTTCGTTTTTAGGTGTGACTGACAAAAGTTAACTTTTGGATTCGGTTTAGGGTGGTGTTCAAAGTGGTTTTGTAAGAAGTGAATGTCAGTTTAAAAAAGGGTAGAGGCAGATGCAATGTAAGCTTTGTCTTCTGTCAATTTATATGCAACGATAAATAGTACTTGGTCACTGAAAGTTGCTTAGAATACTCCTGTTAGCCAAGACTGTGTAAGAGGTGGATATGAAGTACTCTGCTTAGTCTGTTCTTAAGCATGCTTCTTATTATCTTTTTCTTCTCGTGCCCAAACTTGTTAGTTTTAATGGAAACTTTTACAATTTCTTGAAGAATCCAAAGGAAAGCTACCTTCAGATCCTTGCCCCTCTTCCGCCCAGCTTCCTGAGAAAGCAGGTGGTACCCAGTAATAATGGCTAATGATTGTCCTGGCCATTTAGCACCTTTCCCTTTTGCCTCTGTATTTTCAAGGTTAGGTTTATTGTAGTCCAGGGCAGTTAATTATTTCCTTCATTGGGCCTTCACTACTACCTGCTAACCTGCAGCACAGCTTCTTGACTGAGCGAGTAGAGGGGCAAAAAGGGCTTACTCTCAGTGTGTGAACAACAGGATCTCTCCCAGTTGGTTGGGATTTATGTGTAAATGCCTACAGGCATTATATGTTACAGAAATATTAAAGACAGAATAGCGCAATGAGCTTTAATCTCCGTCATCCATCTTCAGTAGTTACCAGCAGTTTGGGGCCCTTGTGTGTGTGTGTGTGTGTGTGTGTGTGTGTGTGTGTGACTTTCATTTGAGAGAATAAAGGAGATACGTAGTAAATTGGACTACTGCTTTACCTAAAAACAGAGTTGAATTTTCCTTTTTTTTAAATTCCTAAGCTTCTTGCATCCTGGATGATAAGCAGATCTGTGGTAGTGACCTAGCCCGAGTGTGAACAAACAGCATTCTTTCTTTCGCAGGAGGATTCAGACTCCTCAGTTCTTCAGAATGTGTTGTGTGGGGGTGGATGACCAACCCTGAGTCATTTGATTCTCCTCATTAAGGAAAGTCTAACTTCTCGAGTACTAGTTTGCTTAGACCCTGCCTAGAGCTGCGGGGTTTGGGGCTGTCGGGCCGCGTTGGCGGGTGCTGGGGCATCTGTGAGGAGCAGCGGGCTGTTCAGTTACAAGTCTTGGTCACCGCCGTTCTCTTTCTCTGGTCTGGAGCTGGAAAAGTTGCCAAGAAGGTTAGACAGCAGGTTCTCTCCTTACAGTTCTTTCCTTGCTCCTTTGTTGGATTGTGTGGGATCTTGCCACCGTTGACGCCATCCTGGGAGCTAAAACTGACCAGTACGTCAAAGAATTTTCTGTTGCACCTGACTGTTTCCAATTAATTGTCAGCCTCAGTCCCATTTCTGCTCAAAGGAGGAAATTGGGTTAACTCAGAGATGGGTGATTTTTTTTTTTAAAGTTACTACTGTCTACTGTGTGTCAGGCGGTTGGTGTTTTGGATACATGATTTAATTTTTCTTTCAGCAACTCTTTAAATGTATTCCATTACAGCTCATTTTATAGATGAGTAAATTGAGGGATCCAGAGGTTAAATAGATTGCCTAGGATGTGATGATTCTTAGAGTGCAGTCTTTTCAGGAAGCTGAGTGTCTCCTAGGTTGACACGGTGTTTTTTCCTTTTCTGTCCTAAGTGGTACTTGGAGTTTTCTTGGTACCTTCCGCAAGGACACAGAAATCACTGGCCCTCCTCTGTACTACTGACGAACCCTTCATCAGTAGATTTTCTTTCTTCTTATTTTGTAAGGTTCAAATAGCTTTCAAAAAGTTGGTTAAGAAAGATCTTAAAAGGAAAAATCATTTTTCAGGTGATTTTTATTCAGTATGTGGTTATAGAAAGCTGGTTATGGTCCACAGTACAAATTTGATGAAAACTTCTAAACTTGTGAAAAATAAGATGCAAACAAAAAAATGTGACGTGTATAAGTGGTGAAGTATCACAGCAATGTCAGTCCTGACTAAGTCCAACTTGCCAGCCAGTGGGTCAGCATCACTGAATCCTCCTGGGTATCTTCTCACCTGTCTCCAAGGATCCTTCACCCGGAAATGCATGCTCTCCTTACACACGGGCACATTAGTAAAATAGAAATATGTTTACTGCCAGCCCTTTTCTTTTTGGCTGATTGAGTATTAGCCGCTTTAAACACTAATGATTTGTGTTGTTACACAGCCTCCCATCCCCCAGAGTGGTCTGAATAGCAGGTGGCGGAGCCAAGAAGGTCTTTATGAAATGCCATTCCTAGCTTGCTCATGTAGCATGGTCTTAGAGTCTCAGTCCCTTTGAAATTTACTACCCTTCTTGTAATTTCTTTGGTAGATTTGTTCTGCAGATAAATTTTGATAAATGTACCATTGATGCTAGTGTGTTCAAGTGTTTTAAACTTACGGCCAACTTCTGTGTTTTCCTTGCCGAAATTTAAAACCGCTTTTTTTTTTTTTTTTTTTTGCCTTCATCTGTATGTTGAAATCATTTGTCCAATTTGTGATTCAGAGTAATGGATACATTGGCCTGTTTTCAGGATGTTCTAAGTTTAAGGCTCCTGTCAGGAATTTAAAGGTGTTCAGTGTTATCTGATTCTCAAGGGGATGCTGACAGGTAAAATAAATTCATGATTTAAAGAGGAAAAAATATATGTTTGAAAGGCAGAGAGAGAGAAAAAAAAAGAGAAACTTCCCGCTTGCTGATTTGTTCCCAAATGCCTGCGCTGGATGGGGCCTGGCTGAGACCAGGAGCTTAGAACTCTGTTTGAGTCCCCTGTGTGGGAGGAAGGGAGCTAGCGACCCGAGGCAGCACCCAGGGCCTCCCAGGTGCACTGTGTCAGGCAGTTGCAGTCAGGAGCTCCGCTGGGGCTGGCATCCTGGGACTGTGGTGTGAGAGGCAGGCTTCCCAAATGTCAACCACGCACCAAATGCCCATCCTCTGACTTCTGTTGTTGAGAAAGTAACTGTGCTGTTAATTAAAATGCTAACATTTCAAAAGCAGAATGTAATTGTTTTCTTCCCGTTGTGTGGCATTTGCTGGATCTCCTGCCACGTGTTAATGGTGCTTGCTCTGAATACCTACAGGAGCAGGCGCATGCTAAGGCTTTGTGTTGATTATACAGCGCGTACTCTGTGGACCTTAAGAAGCAGTGGTTATTCCGTTCCTGCTGATTGTTGCCTTGCAATAATGTAGGCCCAGTGATGTTATACATTTTTATTGGAAAGTCAGATTTACAGAGAGAAGGGAGAGACAGAGAGAAAGATCTTCTGTCTGCTGTTCCACTCTGCAAGTTACTGCAATGGCCGGAGCTGGCCGGAGCTGAGCCTATGCAAAGCTAGGAGGCAGGAGCTTCTTTCTGGGTCTCCCACATGGGTGCAGGATCCCAAGGCTTTGGGCCATCATCTGTTACTTTTTCAGGCCACAAGCACAAGCTGGAAGGAAAGTGGAGCAGCTAGGACACGAACCAGTGTCCATATGGATCCCGGTGTGTGCGAGGCAAGGATTTAGCCACTTGGCTACTGCATCAGGCCCAGTGTCATATGTCTTTAATTTTTCAGGAAACATTGGAAATCTAGAAGAGGGCATTGTGCAGCAGGTTGGGCTGTCGTTAGGATGACTGCATGCCAAGTCAGAGTGTGGTTTGGGTCCTGGCTGCTCTGTGCTTGTGGTTCAGCTTCCTGCCGCTGTGTCAGGGAGGCAGTGGATCCTGGGCCAGGTGCTTGACTTCCTGTTGCCCAGATGGGAAACCAGATGGAATTGTTGGTGTCTGGCTTTGGCCTGACCGGAGCCTTGGTTAAGTTACTTTGTGACTGTACCAACAGAGGGAAGCTGTCTCTTCTTCACTTTGTCACTCCGTCTTCCAGATATACATTTAAATTTGAAAAAATAATATTTAAAACTGTCAATATATTTAAAAATATGTGGTCCACATCAAATCATAGGTGATTACTTTTTAAGGTGTTATATGAATCTTTATTGAAAGGCGATTATTCAACATGTTTTTTTTGGGAAATATTTATTTGAAAGGCAGAATTGCAGAGAGAAAGGAAGAGGGAGAGAAGGAGGGAGAGAGAGAGAGAAAGAATCTTTCACCCACTAGTTCACTCCCCATATGGCTGCAGTGGTCTGAGCTGATCTGGAGCCAGGAACATCTTCTGGGCCTCACATATGGATGCCAAAGGTTTGGGCTGTTCTCTGCTGCTTTCCCAGGCTACAAGCAGGGAGCTGGATGGGAAGTGAAGCAGCTGGGACTTGAACTGAACTGGCACCCAAAAGGAATACACAAACTACAGACATTGATTTAACCCACTTCACTACAGTGCTGGTCCTAAGTTTTTATTCTGATGCGCAGACCTAGATTTAACTACCACTTAAAATTGCCATCATAAGTATAGAGTAATCCATTCTAGAAACATGTTTGTTAATGAACTTTGTCTACCTTGATATCAATTTGTAATTATGTTATGAATAA